AAGACTCAGACACTCCGCCGGACATTGTCGATACCATCATGCACTCCTGGAGGAGCAGTACCCACAAGCAATACAACTGTTACATCAACAGATGGGTGCAGTTTTGTATTCAAGGGTCGTGTGATCCCCTGCGTCCAACTGTAAAGAGTCTCTTGCTGTTTCTACAATCCCTGTACAAAGGAGGTATGAGTTACTCTTCTCTCATATGGCTCGTTTCGCAGTTTCAAATCTGTCCCGGGCAGAGTCTAAGTCATGTTCCAGTTGGCAGACATTTGTTAGTGTGCAGTTATCTCAAAGAGGTGTTTAATACGATTAAACCTGTTCCAAAGTATCATTGTGTTTGGCCAGTTGATCCTGTTCTTGACAGTCTATCTTCCCTTTGGCTACAGGACACATTGTCACTGAAGATCTAACCCTGAAATTGGTGTTGCTGATGGCCTTAACGTCTGGACAAAGGTGTCAAACGTTAACATTTTTGGATATTTCGACTCAGTATATGTACAAGATGGCAGACTCTTATCGGTTTGCTCTTACAGAGCACATCAAGCAGGACAGGCCTGGCAAAGTTTTTGGCAATTTATGTCTGTACAAGTATACTAAACAGGAACTGTGTGTGTATGAAACATTAGATTATTATATTGGTGTGACTGAGAAGCTAAGGTCTTCTACAAAACTACTTGTGTTGTATATTAAGCCTTATCGTGCTGTTTCTACACCGACTGTTGGACGGTGGATAAAATTACAACTAGAGAAAGCTGGTATTGATACGAAACAGTTTTCTACTCATAGCACAAGATCTGCTGCCACTAGCAAGGCTGCCAGTTTAGTTTCGGTTGATGTAATCCTTGCCATAGCGGTTGTTGTTGAGTCTTGCTGTTTTGGAGAAATAGTATCGTTTGTGTTTGAATAATGTGTGATCAATTGTTAACGTAATTGTGATTACATTGGAATTTAATGCCTATTTTCTGTGTGTGCTCTAGTTTTGTGTTCACACTGCTTTGTAATACCTAGATGTACTTAGTGATTTGGTAGAATTTAAAAATTAAACAAGACTTACCTGTAAGTTAAGTTTGATTGTAATTCTAAGAAATTACATTAGTACAGAAGGGTTAACATGCCCAGAGTAGCCTTATATTTTATCAGCCTCTCCCATATGTTGTTCCAAGTGAACACAAAATGTCATTAAAGGTGATCCGCGGCAGTGCGTGCGCATCTCATGTTAACCCTTCTCATGTTAACGTAATTTGTTAGAATTACAATCAAACTTCAACTTTCAGATAGGTCTTGTTTAATTTTAAAAATTAGTTGCAATGAATTGTCAACTTGCACATGCCTCAGTGATGATCTTTTCAACGCCTAACTCCCCCTTATTATCCTCAGTCAGTGAAGTGTTTGAAACAAGATTAAATAATAAAACCCCTGTCTGATCTTAATTGTGTACAAACAACGCTGTACGTGCATTTAGTTTCTCAAAGCAATTTGAATTATCAACCCTGGATGATGATGATGAACCAATCACATTATCTTTTCAGGCGTCTTCTGGCTGCCAGGGATTATGTAATCCAAATCGATGGGTAGGTATGTTGATTAATGAGCTGGCTAGCGTAATTGAGGGAGGCAGTTGCAATGAATTGTCAACTTGCACATGCCTCAGTGATGATCTTTTGAACACCCAATCCTTCCTTATAATCCTCAGTCGGTGAAGTGTTTGAAACAAGATTAATTAATAAAACCAGGGTTGCCAACTTGGCTCTAAGCCAAATTTTCGATTTTGGCTTATTTTTCTTGCGCTTGGCTTAAACTTTGTTTGGCTTATATTTATTTTCTGGCTTATTTTGGCTTCTTTTTAAAAAATGGAGTTAGAAATCATATATATTTGTATTTTTAAATCAAATATAGTTTTTTGTTTTATGATTAAATTTGACTCAATAGTCAATTTAAAAAAGGTCATTTTTGACCAATGACAGCAAAGCTCTGCCGTTCTCACTTTGTTGCTGCTGTCTTCGGACTTCCGACAATCACAAAATATAGTACTATATGGTTGCCGAAATGTAGCAAAATTCAATACAGGCAATTTATATGCAATACACTGTTACAATATTCAATAAACTCATATAATATTCAATAATCGCAAAAATGTTCAATATACCCCTTTGTGTAACTGCATTAAATATTCAATGCGACAGGCGAAATCTTCACTAAATTACGCTGCAAAATATTTAACTCAGCAAAAAATATATTCATTAAAATCTCGGAAAATATTCAATAGCTTTGGAACAGCGGTCTACAGCGAAAGAATTAATGGACCATAGTTCCCAATTTACCATAGCAGTTCACTGACCATAGCATAGTCATAGTCGATATACGGTCATTGTCGCCTGGAAACGAGGCGAGCGAGGCTGCATGTGCTCTGCCGTTTTTTTCACGTTTCTTTTACGAGCAGTATAAATTTACATTTATAATCTACGGACAGAAAGTCTGAAATACGCAGAATTGTAGAGGAGGTTATCACCAAAAGAAATCGTATGGCTGTGAGTGGTGGACTGCAATCGACTAGCAATCTTCCTTGGCAAAACATAAGATAGTTGAGTAACGAGTCAAAGTCGTCTAGGTATGTACCATATCAGTATTGTTTATAATATAATATCGCTATGTTTTAAGAGTATTAAACAACACAAACTATAGTAACGTTTAAAGTCAAACAGCCTATTTTATTAATGCTTGTATGAATGAGTTGACAGAAATCAAACCTACAACATTTTGTTATAAACTGCTACATAAATACAGCAACGACCATTGTTTCATAGTTTATAAACGAGTATAAATATTAAATATACCAACCAAGATATGTCACAGTATATTCAGCTTAACCCCTAACTTAGGTATATATGCATGAATATATTTTGAGGTGTTATCATTCCTCTAAATATTATTCTTGCCTACCTTGAAGGCTAAATGGCTAGACCTTGTGCAGGAATTACCTTTTTCCTTAATTAAATATTTTACTTTAGACACACAAAATGTGACTGGGGTGGTGCGCAGGGCTCGTGACTTGCTTCAAGCAAACACTATTTCTGTATCCTCCAATATATCATCTCAGATTCCAAAGCGCCGTAGAGTAAGCCATTCATATGCAAAAGAGCAAAAGAAAAAAACTCCTGAAAGAAGACATTTAAACTTATATGTTTAAATCATGTTTCTCAGTTAGCTGAGGAAGAATCACAGGAATCTGGTGGTATTGTCCCAGACTACTCTATATGCAAAGATGATGTTCTGTTTAGCGGGACTGTGGATGTCATGACAATGAACAACTAATGTAGGGATGAGCCGATAAAGAAAATTGCCGATTACTGAGGCCGATTATTTATGAGCCGATTATTGGAACTAATCGACCGATTAATCGGTAGCTGCCGATTAATTAAAAATTAAAAGGAAAAGTACAAGATGAATAACCATTAAGTTGTAAATGCGGTTTTAATGTTTACAATATACACGATTTACAATGAAAATCGGCTTCATTCTCGCATGTCAATATTCAAAGTTGAGTTTTGGTAGATTATGATGTAAAAAGAGGATATTGTCAGCTTTATGTGGAGCTAGTCTACTGCGGTTTTCAGTTGAAATGTTCCCGGCCTCACTGAATACATGCTCGGAATAAACACTTGAACTTGGTGGACTTGGATAGGCTTTCTTGTTGGAGACCCACCAGGTATAGGGACACGCTTTGTAACGGTTGCAATGGAAGACTGAGAAATGCGTTGATCTCTTCTTCAAGACTTGTAACACACTCGTCAGATGCAACTATCTCATCAAAACACGACCACAGTGCTGGATGCGGCCCATCACTGCGGCTTACTGACTCTTTCTCAACACTCTTTCTCAACACTTTCTCAAATTTCTTCAACACTGTAATGGCGGGAATCACTTCGGATATGCACGAATTGTTGTTGCTCATCAGTTTAGTGTATTCCTCGAGCGGTTGAAGCAAGCGAAGGACCTTCTCCATCAATGACCACTCGTTGGGCGAAAGAGTTGTGGTTGGTGTTTCAGCAGAGTAGAGTGTGACAGCCCTCTTATTCTCCAACAGCCTGTCCAACATGTAGTAAGTGGAATTCCATCTGCAAAACGAAACAAAAACATCCATATTGATATTGGTGGTTAATAAATAAAACAAACACTATCGTTTTAAAACATGCGAAACATTTGTCAAGTTTCAAGGTTGTAACATAGGCGGCCCAAAATTAGCGGCCGAAAAATTTTTCGGCAATTTGTCAATGTAATGTATAATATATAATTACATAAGGTAGGAAGCTCTTTTTTACGTTACGAAACTTACCACTTAGACTATGAAAAAATACATCAATTATATTGACCGAAACTAATAAAAATATATAGTAAACTAATCTCTGATAATTTTCCTCGCTTCTTACATGCGAATTACGATTTAAAACTACTTTTAACATGACAAAATACGGCAATATTTTTATAGTTTTTGATCAAAAATATTTTGTACGATGCGGGATGACAGTCGTCTCTGTATTCGTCGTTGCTTTGAAATATTTTACATGATCCTATTGGTTGAAAAAAGTTCGTTCAAATACTTTACAGTTTGTTTCTATTTTCAACCAATAGGATCATGTAAAATATTTCAAAACAATGATGAATACAGAGACCACTGTCATCCCGCATCGTACGAAATATTTTTGATCAAAAACTATAAAAATATTGCTGTATTTTGTCATGTTAAAAGTAGTTTTAAATCGTAATTCGCATGTAAGAAGTGAGGAAAATTATCAGAGATTAGTTTACTATATATTTTTATTAGTTTCGGTCAATATAATTGATGTATTTTGTCATAGTCTAAGTGGTAAGTTTCGTAAAGTAAAAAAGAGCTTCCTACATTATGTAATTATATATTATACATTACATTGACAAATAGTCAAAAAAGTTTTCGCCGCCAATTTTGGGCCGCCTATGGTTGTAACGCACACGGCAATAACTTATAATTTAACTCTCCTTGTCGCCACATCCTGAATCAACTTTTTCTTTGGATGACCCCGATCACTTTGGAGTTCTGCTAGCCTGCTACTTCCAAGCGTCGAGTGACGAAAGTGTGTGACCATTCGTTTCGCCTTGGCAATCATGTTGCTGACACTTCTTTGGGAAAAGATAGCATCGCTGATCGCTAACTGCAGTGTGTGAATGAAGCATGGGCTGCCCGTCAAACCGGCCAACTGTACGGCATTTGTCATGTTGCTCGCATTGTCAGTAACAACGATGTAACATCTTGAACTGTCGATAGTCCACTTTGACAACATGCTTGTAAACTTTTCAGTGATTCGCGGCCCAGTGTGGCTTCCGGGGAAGAAACTTGATTGTAGTACGATTGACTGCCGCGGGAACTTTGTTTCATTTTCATCAATCCAGTGGGCTGTCAGGCTAATGAACGCATCGTTGTTGTGGGAACATGTCCAAATGTCTGAAGTAAAGGAGAAATGTTTTGCCTTTTCCAACATTTTGGCAACAGCTGCTTCGGCTCGTTTCACTAAATTGGGAATTACAGCATCACTAAAGTGGTGTTGACTCGCTAAATGATAACGTGGGGCTACATGTTTCATCAGATGCATAAAACCCAGATCTTCGGCAATTAGGAATAGTTGTTGGTTGTTGAGAACTATCATTTCACCGATTAGTTTGGTAATATGCTGGGCTTGACGACTGTTCATATCCCAAGTTCGACCGGCTTCAACACTTTTTTCAAATGACATCTGCGTTTTTAGTTTCTTTCTCATTGTCACTGTGCTTGAGTTTGTGTCTTGTAGTGTTCTTTTACCTTTGGCAATATTCTTTTCCTTTTTATCTGATGAAAGTGCAAGAAATTCCGTCGGATGCTTGCGGAGGTGATTGCGCATGTTTTTCGTGGTGAACTGCTTGCATTTTTCCTCCTCTGCTGATTATAACTCGAGAGCCTTTTTCCTGACAAACTTTACACATAGCTTTCGTGTTGTCATCTTCCAAAATGTCAAAATATGTCCAAACTGCACTTTTTACCGTGTGCGCCATTAGCTTCTGCGAAAATTTCTCGTAATACTGCTAGAAAATTATTTCCTCTGCATTTTATAACAAACATCATGATTTATTTTAGCCAATCAGAAAACACATTATGGTATGACTCATTGCATAGGAATGCGTTGCTCAGGCATCGGAATGCGTCGGTGGCTTAACTGTTTTTAATGACTTCCTCAAACCCATTAACACAGATGAGACAAAAGACGTGGGTTTTTTCACTTTTTTGACGCCCGCAACGTGAAAAATTGAAAATCTATTCACTTTCATTCAGTTATTTTATCATTTTCTTGGCAGAAACAGAAAAAGTCTTATTGCCGATTATTTGCTGATTATCAGGCAATAATCAGCCGATTACCGATTATTTTAAAAAAGGCCGATTAATCGGCTTTGCCGATTATTTATCGATTAATCGGCTCATCCCTAAACTAATGAGAAAAAATATGCAAAGTTATCAGTGTTAGACTTCCAAATGTTACAGAAGTTGACTTCTTGTGAAAGTTAGTAGGAAAACTGTTTCAACACCAGTGTGTAGCCCTGGCCAGTTCGGGGATTTTTCACGAGTAAAAGTGATTGCTGGTCAAGGAAAACTTTATGTATGTTTGAATCAGTCAACTGATTTGGTTCGTCCAATATTCAAAAAGATGGATCTGATCTTGGCTCTCCAGGTTCTTCCAGATCAAATTGTAGCAGTACAGTTCAACTTTGCATGATGTTTCCACAAAAAACAGAGTCAGAAATCAGAGAAGTATTACCAAAAAATCATGAAGATATAGACCTTTCCATAGCTGATCATTTAGATGATGATGTTCAGCTTATTAAAGGGCTAGATACTACAACCGAATTTGGAGGTATAACCTAATAATTTCCTTTATTGATCCATTGAGATTATGGAAAGTATCATAGTCATCTTATTGACCAGTTTTTTACACAACCCAACAAACTTGTTTTTGAAGTGTGTGTATCCAACAAGTTTGTTTATAATAAATTTGGCCAATAAAGATTGGTCTTTTCTTTTTTTAATTATTTGTAATTTATTAAATTGTTTAGTTTAGGACAAATGTAAGTGTAACAAATTTGTTTAAAAAAGTTACATGATTTTCAGTAGCTGGATCCTCTTTCAAATACAGTGATCTTTGTAAATTTGTTGGTTTGGAGTAAGGAACAGGAAATAGCCAAGAAGGAAATTTGTGAAATAATTTGTGACTGCTTTGTAAGAAACAGTCACCACAAGTGAAAGTGTCCAAGGTGATGGAATAGATGATGAAAAGGTTCCAGACAAGAGTGTATTTCAGTTGTTAAGCATCAAGATCACCAAAGATACAAGGAAAATAAAGATTGATCCAGAGGACTTGCTATCTGATGCACTTCAAGTATATAAGCATCCAAGTTTAGATCCTACACATCCATTCATTGTCCAGTACAAACAACAACCAGCTGTAGACACTGGTGGTGTCCTTTGTGAGTTTTATTCTGATGTTTTTAAGGAATTTGTCAACAACCTCATTCGTATCTTTGAAGGCCCCTCTGATAAACTACAGTTCCACTCTACAACCACACTGCATTGACGTGTGGTATGCCAAAAATGCCAGGCACCATGATTGCACACAGTCTTTGTCAAAATGGGCCAGGATTTCCCTATCTCGCACCTTCCCAATATTATTATGTTGCTACTGGAGATATCAATAAAGCCATTGCATATGCATCTATCCATGACATTCATGATTATGAGATAAAGTCTTATGTTGAACAGGTAAATATTGTAATAAAGTCAATATAATGTTGATATAAAACATATAGCATAATAGTTCATGAAAAAACATGCTCTAAAATGCCCTTTAAATATATTTTTGTGCACAAATATTTACTTTTATGAACTTTGCAGAGCTATATTTTTCAGAACATTTTGGAGTTACTTATTCTAACATGCTTTCTTTGGCTGTGATCAGGGGTACTAGGAAGAAATTTGGGGCCAGGGGGAAAATTCCCATTAAGACTGCAATTCCAAGGGCAAAATAGCTGCAAAATGTAATTTTCTTCATTTTGGGGTTACATTCTTTACAATATTAAACCTAATATATTGCTTTACCTGACCTACCAACCTGGGCAGAACTTATTATCAGTGTAACTTAGAAAAGAGGACTACATATTTCTAACATTGATTTTTTGCCTGGGGCAAAATACCCTGTTTGGAGGCATCCCTCTGGTTGTGCCTGGCAGTTGTGTTAGGTTTTTCTCTTGAATCATAAATTTGAATGAAATAAAGAGAGTATTTGGTATTTCTACCAACAGATCATGATGTCAAAAAAGTCTGATTTAGACATAATGAACCAGTCACTTGAGTTTCAAAGTCTGCTTGCAAACTCTGGATTGCAATGTCAAGTTGCAGTAAGTTTTGATCGATTTAGTCAATTATGTTTAGTTTTAAAAGTTAATAGTGTTAATTATTTTTCTGCTAATTCTACATGCCAAAACATAAATGAATGCTGTGCTGATTAAACGGGATGAATAGATTCTATATTTTATATTTTTCTTTTGTAGAATGAAAATAGACTTTCTGTTGTCCAAGCAATAATTGCACATTGCGCTGTAGTGAAAAATGTCCCTATGTTGAAGCAGTTCGTTAGTGGTCTAAAAACTCTTGGTGTAATTGATGTTATCACACGTTATCTAGACAAGTTTTTACAGCATCCTGTTCACTGTGCCAAGACTAAAACACGAGAAAATTTTAATGGATTATTAAAGTTGAAAGAAACTGGGATTGAAGCTAGTTGTTTGGCAGTGTTTAACATCTTACAGAGATTTGTGGAAGAATGCTCTGAAGAAGGTAAATAATTACATGAAAAATTTTCAATTACCTATAGACAACAGAAGATTGCATGGAACAATTAGGAGTTGTTCACATGAGCCCGGTTAACAAGATTTAACGAAGTGTGGAATGGTTTTGAAGAATTGAAAAGTCTTCTTGAAACAGAACAATCACAGGCTATTGTGAGGATGATTACAGGACTACCAGAATCGTGTTATTTACTCATTTCAATCTCTGTGACCGGGCTCATGTGAACACAGCCCCCTAGAGCGCAAGTAGAGATTAGCAACTCACAATACATATTTATATCAATAATCACTATAATGGTATCTTTTTTAGATATTGATAAGTTCATAAAATTTTCAACGGGCTGTTCTTACGCTCTTCCCCCACCAACAGAAAATATTGTCGTAGAAGTATCACCAGATGCGGCAAGTATTTTTGCATCTACTTGCCTATTCAAGCTGGTTTTTCTATCAAGGTTCAGCAAAGAAAGTTATGAGCTATTTAAAGCAGCAGTGTTAGGTGTAATTTCCACCACCAGGAAAGATAAATTGTTTTCTCTTCCATGAATATTGTTGAACTTATCCTTTAAAGTATCCAGTTCTAATTACTGTCAGTATAAAGTAGTTTCTTTAATGTTATGTTAAATTGCTGTTTTTGGCAACATCCATGATGCAGTCTTGAAGTTGAATGGATAGAAAGTCGTAGACAGTTTGACTCAAACAAACTGTATAAGTGGGTGTATGTAATTCACTTAGATACTTGTTGCCAAAGAAATAAGTGCATTGAGCTCTGCCATAGCAGCCCAGCAAACAATGTTGATTTGTAACACCCAATCAACATTGTTTGCTCGGCTGCCTACGAGTATGATACTATACTGGATGTTGCACAATAGCTTACAGTGTAGTGTATCCCATTTTAAGTCGTTTACATTCTGTTACCTTTTTTTATAGATGCCTTTTTTCTTAGTTTGTAGTACAAGATATAGTGAATATAGAAATTTTGTAAATTTCGACATAGATAATCCGATAAGGCAATCCTACATCTGTGGCATCTAGAAAACATTTTTGTATTCTGCTTGCCTAATTTTGTTAGCTGTTGATGAGCTGTTGTTGATGACTAAATGTTCACATTATATTAGAGTGTTTAAGTTTACGATATATGTGTAACGACAAACGCCAGACAAAGAAAAAATATTCACCTCAAAGGCATGCAATAAAGAGCAAATGGACCCGTTTTCCGAAAACCCTAGGCACAATCAGTGCTTCCCTCGAAGAAGGAAAATATGAAACAAAAATGATAAAGGAAAACTTTTGACTCTGCCGTTTGCCGTTTCCAGAAAATGCGAAGCTTAAACTGCAAAAATTACACTAACATTAACAATTTTGCTATTCGAACAGTTCATTCAGAAAGTCTTTCGCTTGTGTAAACAGTTCTATACCATAGTTATTTGATTCTTGTTGCGGATTAACATGATCTTGAAGTTGATAAGGTACTCAATTGGAAATGGGCAGTTCAGTGGTTCCACCTCCACAGTGTTTGATTTTCGGCCGGAATAGGACCATTCCAGTCAACGCCATATAGTTCAATGTTTTCAATTTCATGCCTTTCTAAAAGCTGTCTAACAGAGTGATTTATCATTCCATTTGCCCAAATTTCTTCTGGACTCCAATTGTTCTCAGTTCTCATGGGGCGATTGTTAAAGGCTGCTGCGAACTCTTGAAGAGAATGATTAATTCGCGGTAAATATACATAATGCAGTAGAAATAGATCGACATTATTGTCCAAATCAAGACACCAGTTTCCTCCATGGCATAGAATATGCAATAAAATAAATATAAACAGCAACAGAATACCTCCCTCCATAATTTTTCTATTCTTTGATTTTCTGGTCGATGGCCCAGCAATAAAACTTCACCTCTCCCTTCACCTCTCTCTCTTTCCATTAACCTCGCTACTTGAACATTTTCCCCTCCGTGATCCTCTCTAACTTGGGATGGATAACCAAATTCGTCAGTTGCTGCGGCAAAAGCA